AAAAATGAGAAAGTGCCAAAAAAATCGACTCCGTTACTTTGCCATAAATTGATGTCATTTTCTCAATGGAACCTACAGAGAGGAGAGTTGAGTGCAGGAACCGTAGATGCGGTCATCTACAGCCTCCAACTCAAAAAAGGAACGATGGAGACTGAACAAAGCCAACAATCATTTCCACATTTCCATCCATCATTTCCACTGAGTAAAGTCGAGTACATGGCGCAATCCCAAGCAAATTCTGAACAGATCACCTCCAGTGGCCAATGAGCCCCTACAAGCACTTAAGCGTGCACCCCATGTGCATGCAATCACTTTTCGGATGGAGCTCAGGTGCATGGCGCAATCCGAAATAAAGCATTTCTAACATTTTAGGGTATTATCTTGTAGAGCTCGATGAGCTGAGTTCAACGGTATTTTTCTCCCTGATTAATTTATTTTGAAGCGATTTATAAAGAAAAGACGAAAAAGACGCGAACTCGCGGTATTATCGCAAATTTTCGAGTTCTTACGGCGAGTACTGTACATCAAACGACTCTACTATACAGTTTTCTTGAAGCCTACATGACCGCACACGATCGAGGAATTTCTTGGTGTTAGGCAGATGTGAACGTACGTATCGGAGTAGTTGACCGACAATTTTGTTGAGGAACCAGAAAATACTGTCCCCTGGTCCTCTTACACAGCGGTCTAGTTTTGTAATCCCTAGCATCAGCTGAGTTTTCACCTCCGTTGGACAACTTAATCAGGCTATGGAAAGCCGAGCACCACGGTGTACCCAACTTCAATCTCATCATCAACATTCTATCTAATTTTGCTATCTTTCCGAATGGTATTGTGTGAGGAACGCCTTTCCTGACTGGAATGAGCAATGTCCACGTTATGGCTTTGGTCAAGAATGACTTAATTGTAATATTTTCAAGTGGGGCGGGCAGTACTTCTCCAAAAAACAAGAGCGCCCTATGGGTCAGCAGCTAGCACCGGTATCAGCTACCAGTTTTATGAACAGGATAGAAAAGTCAGCTATAGCACGCCCATTATGTACTGTCGGTACATTGATGCCAGTAATTGCACGATGTCTCAGAATTATTGGCGCCAAAATTCAGAAATTTCTAAGGTAGAAATAATTTATCAAATCCACATCACCTGTTATTAATTAGTTGCATAAGAAGGATTCCTTGCAACATGCATGGTTACTGATGTGGAACCCCCAATATCTTCCAATGGAGGAGGCTCGTTCAATGCCACTTGCAATAATTGACACGCGAAAGGTGGAAGGGCATTATGAAATTCCAAGGAATTTTTA